CAAACTCATTGCTACTTTTCCCTGTCAGTTTGCAGTTCTTTAACTTCGTCAGTAAATAAGCAAAGTATCGATCTGTTTTTTTCTTCTCAAGCATAAATGAGGAGCAGGTTAACAGTATTAAAAGTTTGGAGACTTAGAAATGTTTCTGTTAACAAAGCTGCTGACATTTGACTAACTTGTCATTTAGCTCACCAGGTTGAGCAGATGACTTGCATGCTGTGAGAAATACACAGCTACCAGGGTTAAAGTCCACGCTGGGTCATTTCCTGAATCTCTTCCTGCTTTCTTGTTTTAATAAAGCAATAATGACCAGAGGCGTCCCTGAAACTTCACGCCTAAAAAGCCACTGGATACAAACCACATACGGGCAGCCAGATGACAGCGGTAGAATAAACATTTCTACTAGATCAGTGACCTCAAATAAATGATTACATCATATAGAGACAACATTGATCCTGAGTGGGCTGAACTAGTGAAAACCTAAAAACTTCACATTTAATTTGTGAGATATCTTAATATAAGAAAAATAAGGCAATATTCAACAGTGTGTCTCAGTTTTTATACATGACAAAAAAAGGCCTTTTTTAATTTAAAACTAAAAAGTATTTTTTATATTATAAACTGAAAAAGAGGAACTTGTCTGTAATGTAACCATTTATTGCTTAATTATGTTGTTGTAATATGAAAGAAAGCTGTAAAACTGATAGAAATACAGTCTAAAATGTATGCTCTCCTATGCATTTCCAAAGCAGTCCAGTGGGCCAGATTAGAGTCTTTGCTGGGCCAATCCCGACACCCAGGCCTTAAGTTTGACACCCCTGTTAATAGATGATCAGCAGGAAACCTTTGCAGATTCTAAATCAGCAGATTGCACATTCTCAGGAACATCAGTAAATAAATAACATTATTGTGGTAAAAAACTATTATCTTATAATCCAAAGTAAATGATCCTAGATAAAGTTAACACCTTTGAGACGTTTGTAGGGTTTTCAGTCATTTACATTTATTCATATGCTTCACTATTTCAGATTTTGTCTCACAGAAAACGGCAGAAGCGAAGCAATGAGGGCCGTCCCCCAAACATAAAAACAATATTAAATACTTGAACAGTTTACAATGTCCAGCAAGGGACAAAAAAAAAAAGCAAACAATGAAGAAAATTACAGCCATAGTAAAATGAATGTGTCTTCTGCTGATATGAATGATACGCACATTCAGCCAACATCCTCAAAGGACTAGTGTTGCTACTGTTTGGTCCGTGGGTGTTCAATATTAAAAGCCGTGTTCTTGCGTCCTTCGTAGCTCCTCCACCTCTTCATCCTCATCTGCAGCTGCTCTCAGAGAGCCATCGGGTAAAGACGGCGATGATCAGAGGCCACACAGGGGGTCCACGAGTTTTTCTCCGTGATGCAGTGACAGGGCAAAGCATCAGAATGACATCTAACGGGATTTCATTTTATTTCTCAGAAATTTGGAGCTGCCAACACATGGTAGCTTTGTGCAACTGAATCTGACTTTAACACGTGATGTTTTTTTCTTGGGAAATTAAACTCAAGGCCTCGGGTCGATGACAGATAAAAGGTGATCTCTTAAGAGTCTGATGAGAGCCCCCAACGTGTGGCTGGCTGAGAGTTTAAGAGTGCAACTCATATCTGGCTGAGGGGCATGAACTTCTGGTAGTAACTCTTGGTTACATCAATCATGAGGTCCTGTGTACACTCTGGGAGCTCTCCTGAAAACAGACCTGAGAGAGAGCGAGACAAACGCAGGTAAAGACCAGACAGCGAGGAGAACGAAGACAGAAAAGTAGAAAGATGCTGGTCTATTGATTAGTTGTGTGCGTTTTGCTCACCTGGGCATCCAGAGAAAACGGTGAAAGGTGGCACTACTGTCTCAGGAGGAAGCACAGTGTTGTCTAAGATCTTGCAGCAATCCTTTAGCACACAACGGCGACCCTGCACACATAATGGAAAAAAGAAATTTAAACATCATCAAACATCACAAAGTCATGCACTTTCATATATATCCATCCATCTAGATAGATATATCCATCTATCTATCTATCTAGATAGATATATCCATCTATCTATCTATCTAGATAGATATATCCATCTATCTATCTAGATATATCTATATAGATTAAGTGAAGTCCCCATTTCTGTGATCCAAATCAACAGTCTGAAAAAAAATGCCAGCTGTTTTTTGTTTATTAATTCAGCCCTCGACTGCCAGCAGAAGGTTGCATGACTGCCATGTGACTGGTTCGCCACAGGCAATAAAGACATGCTTTCTGTCTATACCCCCACCCCACCCCTTCACAGCGATGTCCTTTCACTGCCGAGGAGCTAGCTGTGTGCGTGTGTGAGATTTTATTTCACTCACTATGACACAGTTCTTCCCAATGTGGACGTAGGAACCAATCTGTGCTGCGTTGACCACGCAGTCCTCCTCAATGAAGACGTGGTCTCCAATGTGCAGCGGGAAGAAAGCCACCCTGCAGGGGGGGACAGGGCAGTGATGAGACAATATGCTTTTTCTACTTACTATATTCTCTCCTTTATTCATTTGTACAGTGACTTTAAATATTTTGAGTGACAATAACTAAAAACAATCTCAAAGCATCTTCATCTTTATCTAGAACATAAAAGCACATGGCTGGCCTGAAAGTGTGTCAAAGATACTTTACCCTTTGCTGAACTTTTTGAAAGGTGGTCGAATAACACTCCGGCTTTTCACCACGCAGTGTCTGCCCACCCTGACGTTAGCCAGGTCCCCCCTGATGATGCAGTCATTCATAACAATAGTCTGCAAGAGAGAACATCCAAAGACTAAGCTTTAGCACAGATGGACACTTTCTATTCACTAGTCATTTCCAGGTGTGTGTTTTCCTTACTTTGCCGTTCAAGACTATGTTTTGACTCCCACATAGTACCGACTGTCTGCTCACTTTGTTGCCAGAAGCCTGAAATCAAACAACAACCACTGTTAATAATCGTGTCTGTGTCTGTCCACAGAAATGAGCACAAACAACCGTCTCTGCTATCCGCCCAACGCCCCGTTCACTTTCTGCTCGGACAGATAGCAGGCTACGTTAGCTTAAGCAGCGGTGATTAAAATCCCACACAGTACCGTCTCAATGTACTCCGCTTTGTTGTACAGTATTTCAGACAACTCCATGGCTGGAAACCCACTGAACTATCAAACGGCGTTTACTATTCTGCGATACTATCTAAAGCATCGATACGGATTTTCTCTATGGGAAGCTCCTTCTCCTTCTTCTCGTCTTCTGCGCAAGCCCGGACGTGACGCCATCAAATAACTTTATTTAAAATATCAGAAATCGAACAAAAAACAGACATAATAAATGTGCGCGTGTAAAGCTAAAATAATAATAATAATAATAATAATAATAATAA